GAAATGTCCAAGCATACATCTGCATACAAGCTCCACAAAGATAAAATTACAAAATATGAGTTTTGGAGATCTAACGTCCCCAACAAAGAAAAAAAATTCCTTTACTGAAAACTCTTCATTCTTCTATTTTTTTAATTTTTAATAAAAATCAATAATTTTTTTTAGAAAACATGTTCAATGGATAGGATATACATTACGCAAATCATCAAATCGCATCATGAGGCAAGCCCTAACTAGGAATCCTGAAGGGAAGCGGAAAAGAGGAAGGCCAAAGAACACATTACGTCGGGAAATAGGAGCAGATATGAAAAAGATGAATAACAACTGGAAGGAGCTGGAAAAGATTGCTGAGGGCAGGGTTGGATGGAGAATGCTGGTGAGCGGCCTATGCCCGTCCACGAGGAGTAACAGGCGTAAGTAAGTAAGTGTTCAATAAATTATTCAATTTGATCCAATGAATTAATTATATTTTCAATAGATTTTTCTTAAATTCCATAATACCATCAATCAGTTAAAATTAATTTATTTATAAATTAATCATAAAATAACACAAAATTATCTTAATCAAAAGTGGTATATTTTGTTTTTGTTTAAAATTAATTCATTTCCATTTAAACTAATTAAAACTGTCAATTAAAATGCTTTTTTTTAAAAAATTAAATCAATATATCGATTAAATATTTATCTATCGGTTTAGTAACAAAAGAAATAATAATAAACACAATTTGTATGGATAAATATTAGTTCATTATAAATCAAGTTTCTTAATAATATTAGCAACAAAAGATAATATTTAAAAAAAAATATGATGATGAGTCGTCATACCATAGTAACCAATCGATTGTTTGTTTCTTTTGTTTGTATTTTTCTTTTTTTTTTGAAAATGAAAATGATTATTGCCAGTTAGCAAAAAATTAACTTAAGAAGTTACAATCGAATCTGAATGTTTTTGGTGGAGTTTTGTTCTCTGAGCTGGATGGTTTGTTCGTGGAGCTTTCATCGTTCTTCTGAACGACATCATCAGCTGAGCTACAAATCTTCTCCACCATCTCAAAATCTGAATGTTCTAGATAATTATTGATATGATGGAAAGAAAAGTCAATTTCTGATTGATTTACTCAGGATGAATTTTATTCAACATTACATTTAATCAAAACGGAAGTAAGGTTGAATAAAGCTCATAATTATTAAATAAATCTAAGTTTGACTTTTTCCATCATATCACCTCCCCTTCTTTTTTTCGAAGATTGAGGGTTCGGAATTTTTTTCACCCCGTCACCAATTGTTATATCTTGTAGTTTGAATGCTACTTGTTATATCTGGTTGTCGTAATAATGTTTTGGGGTCAATAAATCTTCACTTATACCAGTTCTTGTGTTCTTACTTTAGCGTCGTGGGAATAGCGGAGGTCCCTCGTTCAGAGTATAATAAGTGATAAGCGTTTCCAACTTAACAATCAGTGACGACCAGATATAACAAGTAGCATTCAAACGACATGACATAACAATTACAAATCAATGAATATTGTAATTTACATAGTTTGTTCATTTATATAATCTATTATTTTCATAAATATTCTTATATGTACGTGTACACACCTGAACTATAGTTATTAAAACTTTAAAACTGATAAATATAAAATAGAGACTTATGGAGATAGCTAAACTTACTTTACATCAATTAATTAGAATTAAACGGTTTTAATTTTATTCATGTAACATCTTCAAAATTTAGTTGAAAGTTATACGAAGAGTAACAGATTATCAAGGTAGAACAAGTAATGAGAATAAATATCTCTAATTCAATAAAAAAGTTTACGAAATTGAAGGAAACACGCTTAATGCCATGAAAACTAATAATTATCTATTAGTTATCTAGATAATATCACTTCCTAAACTGATGTTTAATAACAAGATATTTAAATTGATAAAATATGTATATCCGACAACAATAGATCATAAGTGATTGGAAACATTTCCAGCTCTTTGGAAATCTAAATTAAGAACCATACATCAGTGAACAACATTGCTTCCAGTTAGACTGTTATCAGACTTTACTCTGATATACATTGATATTTATGCAGGTATAAAAAAATATGAAACTAGACTAATTTATCAGTCAATAATGACTATGAAATAGATTATGCAACTAAATGTAATCGGGTGAAAAATTTAAAAAATATTGACAGTAAGAACTAGGTCTATTTTAGTGATAAGAGTAATAAAACTATAAAAGTTCCGATCAGCAGTTAAACGTTGGAAGTAGGTCAAACTTGGATAAATAGACTTTAAAATAATAATCACATAACCTTATTCAGTCGAGTAGTAAGAAGTGTGTAAATAATTAGATAATGAAGAACATGAATGGGAAAAGATGGAAAAGGACATGCGAATACGTGATGTGAAAAATTAATAAAGTCGTTTATTAAGACATATCCGGTCAGGGAAGGGGCAGAGGTGACACGAATCTCCTCAGAGGACATTTACTAGGGTTGAAATCCCTATAGCTTCTGCTGTATGTAAGAAGCTGGATCAAAGCATATTGGGAAATGACGAAGGTAAACGTCGGATCGATTAAAATGTTTTGGTTTTTTTACCATACGACTAAATGTGCCAATTTAGAACTGCTGATTGTTTTACCTGATCTTTTACAAACTAAGTAGAGAGATATTAACTCATTCGTTGGTTAGGTTACTTGGTAGTAATCCAAATATACCTATCTCAGCAGCTGGTGTTGTAGATATTTCTCAAAGAGTCCGACTCCAGCAACTTATCCTTTGTTTGAGTAAACATCATCGGTCTTTTAGAAACTGCTGATTTAAGATAAGTTGTATAAAATTTCCCTTAAGATGCTCCCACCGATCTGTCATGCAGGACTTTGTTAGCCACATCCAAGTTGAATTGTAGTTTCAAGAATAGAGGTTTCTTTTGAGCGGCTCATATCTCAAACTTACTTATCCCTCATAAACAAATACTTTTTTTAAAAGCTTTCAGGTAGCATTTTTCCGTCAGTATATTGCTGTTAAACTGCAACTCCTTCTTTATAGTATCCTTGCAGCAGAATTTTACCTTTCTTTTAGTAAGACATCAGATGAGATGTGAATACTGCTTGAAAATATATAGTTTCCCTAAAATTCATAAAGCCTGATAACAATCGAATTTAATTATTATTGTTCATTAACAAGTGTTGATCTAATCTAGAATAACGTAATCGTTAACATTGTCGATAATATATTTGAACATTTTTTAATTGTCATTCACCTATCTTATTTATTTGATGATTTTACTTCGAATAACATAAACCATAGGTTCAAATAAGGCGAGAAAAGAAACGTTTAAATAATGAGATGAATTCACTATATTTGAAGTCCTCTTATTCGTTGTAAGTTATTCCCATAATTCTATATTTTTAGTTGAATTCATTAGTAAATTAAAGCTAAACCAGGAAGTACTGGACCGCCGTTTCGTCTTAATATGGTACTCCTCAGCAGTGCGCAGGATTCGAAACCACGACCTTCGGTCTTGAACGCTGGCTCTTAACTTTTAGACTGCGTCAGCATCCAACAGTGTTAACACCTAACTTCAACCAATCCACTTCATCACTTTCAGAGTTTTCTGTGTATTTACTGTTACTCAGATATAAATCTTAACAATAAATAAACAGCCTATAATTAATCTCTAACTATCACCGTAATAATAAGAAAAATTATTTCACATATAAAAACACAGAAGCATGATTGCTGTCTGCTACTTTGGCAGATTACTTTTCTGTTCTTTTAGGGACATTCATTATTACATGATTGGCTCTTTGAGTTTAATTAACTGAAATAACTAATTTTATAAAGTTAGATAATATGTGATGACTCATTTCTCTTTCCTATTTAATGTAAACGTTATATTGAGAAATAGATTGAGATTTAGACAATTTCATAAAACGTTTCAACGTGACGTTTCTTAAATGTTATAATTATTATATTAATTGTATAACAATATTGTAGAAATAACTTATTCTTCGAAAATTTCCTAATAATCTCTCTCAACCCAAGTTGATCATATTTTATTGAGATCGTGAATCAATCAATGTTGGATCACAATTGAAAACCTAGAAGCGCTGAACGGCTGTTTCGTTCTAGTATCGAACGTTTTAGAAGTGAGCACTCACGATCCCGCGTTCGAGACTCAAACTTTGAACTTCTGGTCACGTGTAAACGCTCAACATCCAGACCACCGAGACGGAATCTAACAGTATCACTGTCTAACTTCAACCAACGCACGATATTATGGGACCATCTTCTATTGTCTTCGGTGGGTAACTGCTACACTGGACACGGCTGAACTCCATTGATCACGGCTTTGCACTGGAACTCCGAGAACAATCTCTCAAAGTTAGTTATTGATGAGCACACGATAATTATCAGTATGTGGTTGTGAAAATTGTACTGTTTTTATTAAGATCATGAACCGATCAATGAATTACCATCGTTATAGAGTCCCATACTAGGACGAAACGGCCATCCATTGCTTCCAGGTTTTCAATGGTGATCTGACGTTGATCAATTTATGATCTCAATAAAATATGATTAACATAAGATGACTGTATTCAACTTTACAATACACTATCATTTATTAGGCTGTTTAGACTGATCTTCATATTTTCTTCCCCATATTTATAATAATTCAGTTAATATTTGATTTTCAGTATTAAATAACAGTAGAACAACTGTAGCTTAGATTTATTATTTACACCTAATTTGTGTTAAATGCACAATTTTTCATGTCTCACTCTTCTGCATTCATCAGACTTGTCGCTCAATGATATCGATGGCTTTAAAAGAATGATATTTTTGGTTACCATTTATTTTAAAATAAATATAAAGGTCAGTATTTTGAATATATGGATTAATTGGTCTTCTAACTGGTTACTAATGTGTCCTTATATTTAAATTGAATATATTATAAAAGTGTCTTATAAATACAATATGCAAATCATACATAACTTACTCTTTTTTGCTGTATTTTCTATGTTTGTTGTTTGTGTAGGACACTGTGATATTACATCATTATAACATGGTTTTCGACTTGTTGAACTTAAATTATAGGGATATTTTTGTGAGATTGTTGGATTTGAATTATTCCAACGTAAATAACTTGTACTAGAAGTATTTTGTCCTTGATAATTATCATTTTCTTGTATATAATAGTTATTATTATTATTATTATCACCTTCAGCATCATCATCTTCAGTTTCTTCCATTGACATCATTTTCATTCGATTGGATGCATTCATTTTTTCACGGGAATTTCTTATTGCTACAGAATGTAAATAAAAGTAAATAAAATAACCATTTTCTTATACATGAACTATATACGTTCATGCTTTTTGTATGTGTCATTTATTACAATGAAAGAAAAAACAAACAAAAACTAACAATCATCAGAATAAATATTGATAAACATTAAAAAGTATGTAGATTATTCTAAGTGTTAATAATATTGAGTCACTTAGTTTAATGATCAAAACATTTTTACATTTTTTATTTAGGACTTCAATTGATCACTGCTAATCACTATCCATCTTTGCTTATAAAGCTTGTGACTTCAGGCAATATCGAGGCCGTCCGCACAGGATGCACATATGCCAACAAGAGACTAATCGATTGCAGTCCTAAATAAAAATTGGAAGATGCAAGTAAACAACACTAAGTGAATATTTATTTAGAGCTTTCTGCTTCCAGTAAGTATAGGTGAACCTTTGGGTTAATGAAGAAAGCAAATTAAATAAGGAATCATAAAACATTTTAACAATCAAATATCTTGTATTTCATATTGTTCTCTTTTGATTTCCTCATTCTGTAATGACAACTATAAATTAATTTGAAGAAAAAGTAAGTCTGATTTCACCGTTCCGAAATAGCTTTCAGTATTGATCCTACAAAGTGGTATTCTTTTAATTATTACATCTTATAAAACCACAAATTGAAACTATTTTTAAATAAATATACCTGATGAAAATGATTTTGGATTATAACCTGGAAATAATTTTTGAGATTTTACTTCATCTGTACAAGTAAATGATTTCGGTTCATTTTCATAGCCATAATCACCAGTAAAGAATGTTTGTGGATAATCTTCAGTAAGAAATCCTGGACTTTTCTGATTAGAACGCACTGTTTTCTGTCTAGGATTCATTCGTTTATGTTGTTCTAAAATATGAAGCAATAAACATGAATATAGAAACAGATTGTAACTGTTAGACACTGAAGAAGATAAACTAGTGAGATCTAATATCGTTTTTTCATCATTCAAAAATGCATATACTTAAGAATAAAATTGATTGTTCTTATCATTAGTTGACAGCCTTTTGTTGTTTTCCCATTTTGTATCGTAGTATTTAATCATTACTGAAGTACGCAATTCATGACTAAATTTATTGATGGAAAATGATTACATCTGAAGAAACATATAAGGTGAAAAATGTATAGTAATTCACTGATTACTTGATCTAATAGAAGATATACAGTAGAAGTTCGAACGCTTTGGTGCAAGTGACAGGGAATCAGTTAGGTATATTGAAATATATAAAGAGGTCAAGGTCAAATTTAAATCTTTTTGTTAAATATTGAGTTGAAGTACCAAAGTACTTTTTGGTTTGCATGCTCATAATGATATCTGTTCTAGAAATATCCTTTGAGATCCATATATATGACATCAATACAAATAATAAAAGAGTCGATCAGAAAATACAGCGAAGTACTTGATGGTACGATGCAAAAGCACCTTCATACTTATATTTAATGTTGAAATAACTTGATTTTGAGTCGCATTAACTTACACACTTCAGTTTTGACAAGTTACCTAGGGATGTCAACTTTTTGAATGGTCCAAGCAGAATCATTTGAAATCAGTGAGTAAAAGTTTTTTTCGATAAAGCCTGAATACTATGATAGTTGAGTGGAGTTAAAAATGTTTTCTCAAATTTATTCGATACACTTTTCGATCCTGAAATGCTGGAACAGTGACAAAGTCTTTTTGATATAAAAATTCTACCGCTTAAGAACCACGTAATATCGATCTGGTGTGCCTATCAGCTGATCATTTTGTACATTACTGACAACGAACAACCAGTGGGTTAATAAGTAACAATCTTACTAATTATATACTTCACTATCATTCACTTCAAAAATAAGTCAGTTTACATTTAAATAAAAAAAAAACGATTGTCATGTTGTTTTGCTAATTGTTTTTGTGTTTAATATCTTTTCACAAACCTCAATTGTATCCATTGTTAGACACACGAATATTCCAAATCACTTGTGTTTCTTTCCTCATTTTATATCGATTATGTTACCATTAATATAACTCAAACTGTGACAATAATGACTGTTATATCAGCCATATTTGTTTATGATTTCACTGTTACTACCCCCCAGTAATAGCTATAACAGTGGTACGGAAATATGCACGAATGAGTTTGAATTATACACAAAGAAATGAGATAAACTTTTAAAGAAAATTAGAAGGAGAACATAAAGAAACTTCACATACCATAAGCTAGTTCTGCTTCATTTACATTTACAATTTGTTGTTCTGCTACAGGTTTTTGAGGTGATAATTTCATGTTACTAGAAATTAACACATTACTTTTAGCCGACTTATACTCATTGAAGCGTGATATGTTACTACCAATTTCTTTGTTGTTTTGATTATTATTGTTATTGATGATGCTGAGATTGTTGTCACCTTCCAGTAAATATTCATCTGGTCGTCGTGGATCTGGTTCGTTTTGTTTAAGTGTTATGCTCGTAGATGCTCTTTGTAGAAGTAAAGAACCAGGATATGAATTTATTTCATTATAATCCGATTTCACAAACTGTCCGAATTCGCTAGAACCTTAATAACGAAATGAAAAAAAGAAAGTGCAATCATTTGGACTGAGTCGTTATTCAAGTGCATGGGGTTTAAATTAAGTTGTCATATCAGTATAAATGAGACGAAAAGTTAAAATGCAAGTTTATCCCCATTTTTACGTATACTGTGAAGTTATAATATTTATCAAATTATAAAATAAATGTAGTGATTGTTGTGAATCTATTATATATTCTATAATGTTTGTTGACGTCAGTGACCACTGCATCACAGGATTGTCATGTTCTTCCTTGGGCACTTGTGGGTGCACAGCGCTGGATAACATTCATTATGACTCCCTTTTTCTTTGTTTTGAAGGATGCTTTGATGATCCTGGATCCATGAGACGCTCATCCCATAAGTTCTTTACGTGCTACTTTGGACAGCATCAAAGCAACTCCATGAGTGTGCGGAGCATTTTATTCTCCATGTTAAGAGTACAAAAGCCTCTATTGTGAATCTAATTTTTTCTGTTCACTTGAATACAATAGGTTACACTTATTCTGAGAACCACTAAGTTGCACTTCCTCATTTCCATAGCCATTTGATTAGTCATCTCGGTCTTCTCCATTGTCCGGACATTCCTTATACCTATAGATGTTATTGCTCTGGCTGGTGGTTCTTCATAAATCCATGAAAACGTTACATCAAATTGTTTAAAAACAATAAAATCTCGATTATTTTATACTAGGCGTTTAGATGTTCAACTGCACCTATTTTGGTTAAGAAAGGGGACTTTCAAAAATGTTACTTTTTCAAATAAACGTTTTAAAATGTCTGATAACCAGAGTTTTCGTGACAGTTATATGTAATCAAATTATCTGATTTTTATTAAATGCCTGATTCTCCGCCACATTCAATAAACCATCTATATGAGACGTATGTATTTAGCTTCGCTATCTGTTCATTTTAACACGAATTATTGAATTACTATTGTTACCATATAGTAATATTTACCAGTAAAAAATATGCTTCAGTAGTAGCTCAGTCATTTTGACTTAAGATTTATCACTTGTATGCAAACACTTTATCAAAAGTACGAAATCCGGTTAAATCTAAGTACTTGCTTCGAAATATTCAGTATTCATCTATTTCTTATAGCATATGTAGTGTCGGTGTTGAATTTTGTTTATTTCCCGTCAGAAATCTGTTGCGTTCTTTCAATTAAACTTAATTCGAAACCTAGAAAAATTGGCTTCTGCAATATACAATCGATTCGTCCACTTTCAAAAATTAATACTTGCAGTGTGTTTGACACCCTTCCAGTGGACTTTGGCTATGTATGAAGACGATTCACTGATCTGGTTAAACTTCATCTCCTTCAAATTCAAAAGGATCATTAGGATAAAAAAAACATTTAATTTTGAACAGAACAATGAAACTTTATCGATCCTTTTCTAATGCAGATCAGCGATTGCTTTTCTCTACTGTTATATTATAATTATGTGACCTCGGCTACCAACCTTCTAAATCTCAACTAAAAACATTGTTCTAAATGGTTTCAAGGTGACTTATTTGATATACATATCATAATGCTATTTTATATTCCAATTATAAAGGTGATTTGTTTAAGTATTTTAATAACATTCAAAATTAAACTGCAAAAATATATTACATCATCTTAAAAGATAACAATATTAATGGCGTGACTTTTTAGATTAATTCCAAAGGTCAAATTTTTGATCGTTAAAATTCAGATCAAATATATTCTGATTAAATTTTCCTTAAGCCTTTTCCGGACACTTTTATTGTTTTCTTTATAGGAACTAGTGTTTTATTGTTTTAATGTTGTTTCTTCTTTCTTTGTCACTTATATTACAAGACGAAATATCAAGGAATTGTTGTCTGTTTATTCTTTTATGTTAATAACAAATACTCAAAATATCTTAGTACATTTTTCTATTGAAAATCTTAAATCTCATTAAGATTAATAAGCCTCTTGTAATTTTCTCATAACCTGTACAAATGAATGGTTTACAGTGTCTTTTTTCACAGAATTTACTAACAACACTAAGAGTGCTTGATTAGCTGTACTATTTCAGGCCAGTCAGAATTATTTGCCGATAAAAATGAAGTCTCACTGGTTGAAATTATGAGTCATTTGAAGCTAAACCACCATGGAAATCCTGGAAGTACTGGATGGACGTTTCGCCCTAGTATGTGACTCCTCAGCAGTGCGCATCTACGATCTAACCCCCGCGAGATTCAAACCCAGGACCTATCAGTTTCGTGCCAGGGGCTTAACCAACTAGACCACTGAGCCGGCATCCAACGGTGTTAATGTCTAACCTCAACCAATCCACGAAGTTGCTCCACCACATACCATTGTTTTCAGTGAGTTGCTATCTCACAACATACCTGGTTGAACCCCACTGGTAACAACGTCTGACTAGAACTCCAGGAGTATCTCCTGAAGTCAGTCACTAGTGAGCAGGTGATTATTATTATTATCAGAATGGGTTTTGTGTAGATTTCTAGAAATTTCACTGGTTGAAATCATGAGTCAATTGAAGCTAGACCACCCATAGCAAGACGAAACGGCCGTCTAGTGCTTCCATGTTTTCCATGATGGTCTAGCTTCAATTAACTCATGATTTCAACCAGTGAAATTTCTAAAAATCTCCACAAAACCCATTCTGATAAAAATAAAGTCATTGTATATCTTTGTTGGTTTAAAATGAATTACCGTATAATTAAGACTCATCAAAACTGTTGGATAAAGTTTGCAACTGATTTATTCTAAAACATTTTACTAGAGTATGTTCTTTTTGTTTTTGAGAAAAATAATGGTTTAGTCTAAGTAAAAACCATGTTTACTGAAATTTAATGTTGGCTAGCAATAAATATTTAACAAAGATGAATGGCTTGATAAAAATACACTACAAAAGTTTTTTTGCATTTTCTTTAAAATGCTTCCAGTAAAATATTTCTGTGTTCTTTCTTGAACAAATAAATCCAGCGATACAAATGAAATTTATAATCTTCATTAATAATGAATTAAATTGTTTCGGTTTTGTGGTGTATAAATGTGAAATTGAACTTTAAAATACTTAGATTAAGTGGTACTTTTTCAGCATAAACTAAATCTTCACTATCGAAAATGGAGTAAAATATTTAAATGTTTCACTATCTAATGCTCTTAACTGGTTACAGTATATTAGAAAGATACCTATTATTTTCACTATTACATTTGTAGTAACGATGGTACAGATGAAAAATGATAATTGTACCTGATGTTTTTATGTGCGCTTACTATGGCAAAGTTTTGGGTATCGGAGAATTGAAAGATGTTGTTGACATTTTTTTGTGGGACCTCTTGTAAGAAGAAAGCTCGTCAGTCATCAAACATTGAGTAAGTCATTAAAACAGTAAATTATTTCATTTCTTTGTTATACTGGCTTTAAAAGAATACTAGCATAGTCTTTAGTAGATAACAGTCTTGCACCCAACGAGGAATGAACTCTAGTGATGACGGGTCGGGTAGAGACAGGTATCTACGTCAGACAATAGATGATGGGTTGCGCAAGATCATGGATTGATTGAAGTTAGACATTAACACCTTTGGATACCGGTTCAGTGGTCTAGGGTCGTGGTTTCGAATCTTGCATGTGGGATCGTGGGTGTGTACTACTGAAGAGCCCCATACTAGTACCAAAAGGCCGTCTAATGGTTTCATGTTTTTAATTGTGGTTCAGCTTAAATCGACTCAAGAATTCAACTATTAAAATTTACTAAACCTTTCAGAAATCCCCATTCTAAGAATAAATAGGCATTAAACCATCAGTACAATTACTTTAATAAACATATGAAATTGCCTAACAAAAGTGTATCCAACGCAATAACACAATGAGTCATATATGTATAATTCTATAACAATATAAACACCATTTGCTTTCATAATAATACGTAACTCTCATAAACACAAATGTTAACTGTGTTTTCTACAATAATCAACCTTTTTTAATATACATAATGCAAAACAAAAACATTTTTCTCTTCAGATCTATTCTTTTTTCTCTACATGTTTATTATTGTTCATGAGAATAATGAACAAATATGTGAATGGTTTCTTACAGACTAATATTTTCTTTAGTTTAGCTAATATAATTATCTGTAACCTGATTAGTCATTGTACATTTTTTTCAATGATCAGTATGTACAAATTACTTATAATATATTTTAGTATTATAGTTTATCTAACAATGTAAATAAAATATGTGTATTATACTTTATAGACCAAAATGTTTTCAATCCATCTTTCATATGATTCATGGAGATACTAAATAAAATTCACTGATTATTGCAAAACAATAACATAAATCAAAGTTTTTCTGATGTTAGTTACTCTTAATAATAACAAAAACAAAAATAAAAACAAATGTCAATTAAACGTGTTACAGTAACTGACAATATGATTGATTTAGAATAGTTACAACTTGTAATCATCAGTACCATGGCTTTTGGAAAAAAAACAAACAATCAAACTGTAATTTTTTTTTACTTTTAAGATACTACTTGTCAATAAGGAATGAATACATTACTGTTTTCCTTAGTTTCTTTACAGATTACGATTAATGGCTTTTCCCACAATTGTATAAATATTTTTCAAGAAAATGAACGGAACACGATGATTTAGTTTCAAAGAATCGACTTTTCTTAATATTCATTTCAGAGCCAACTGGAAAAGTGATGATTATTCTTTTATTTGTTTTTGTAATGATATGGGATGACTTCTTTAAATATTGAGTACTCTTAATAAACGTTGAAAAGTTAAATTATCGGCTGAAGATTCGCTCAAGGCATTCACACTGATTTAAATACCTTGAGTGACTATAAAATAAATTACGTAATAGTAACATAAAAAAAGAGTAGGTCTATGACACCTCGATCAATATTGGAATTTGTAAACCATATTGATAAGGCGAAAGCATGGTTAACATAACAAATGTCCAATAATGACTTATTTCTGGCAATTATGTTATATA